CCCTGTCGAGATGGTGAGCTGCGACTTCATATGCTTGACGAGACGCTTCAGGAGTCATGCGCCAGATAGGGCACGCAGTTCAAAGCACACGGCCTATGATGACATCGACACAGATACCAACCCACCACTCGCTGTGACTTTAGTGAAGAATGCTCAACGTTCGATCGTCCCCACCTACAACAGGCGAGTTGTCGACACGACAACAAATAGACGGCTCGAGACTGAGCGCGTCGCAGTCGCGGATGCATCAAGGATGCACATTGACAGCGATGAACGTGCAGCGAGTTGGATTGCTATCGCGATCTGCTTGATTCATGACGAGGACACACGATGGATGACGAAATATACATTACAAAACGTTTAGAAGGTCTCAAGCGTAACTCAAACGAGCTTTTTCACCGTCAGCGAGATGGCTCTCGTGCTTGGCGAGGGCGGCTTCGTCAACGACAGCTTCGGCGCCGCGCTTGGACGAAGCCATACCAAACTGCATTTCCCTCATCACGTACAGGAACGCGAGCAAGTTGATGAGCGAGACGATCCCGACACCGTAAAACATGTACTCCAAGTGGCCGTCGTCGTTCAAGTCGTCGGGGATGTACTTTTGGAAAACCAGCGTGAAAATGGATGTGACATTCGACCCCATGGAAATCATGTACAAGTTGATGGCTTGGCAGGTACTCTTCAGGTAGGTCGGGACTTCGGTGTAGAAGACATCGTAGGCCGTCACGTTGATGAGGCATTCGCACAACGCGACAAACACGTACATGGGAATGCACCAGCCCCAAGCGATGTCGTTCATGGGGAGATCGGAGCTGTCGTCGCGAATGACGTCGAGCGTGTTGTTTCCGTTGCCAACAGGGATCATGATCACACCAGCGTTGCGACGGATGGTTTCAAACATACCGGCAAAGAACATGGTAAACGTGGACAAGATCAAACCGGCGGCGACCCGGCCAAAGGGCGACGCGTCCTTGCCGGTGATTTTCTTGTAGGCAGGGTACACGACGATTTCCAGGAACGGAATGAGCAACACAATCGCGATCGGGTCAAACACACCGAGCACGGCACCAGGCAACTGGGTGGCGTCGCGGGCGTTGCCGAAACGCAAGTCGGTTTGTTGGGCAATCGTTTGAAAGTTGGCATCGACTTGATCGTACACGCATTGCCACATAACGTTGAACGCGGCGAAAGGAAGCACGCGGACCACGAGCTTGATTTCATCGATCGAGACATCGTCTTGGGTCCCGCCTTCCGATTGCTTGGCATTGCTCAAATTGTCAAACTTACGACCGAACCAAACCCAGAGAAACACGCCGACGAGCGCGACACCACCGGCGAGATAACTCATGGCCAGGCGTTCGGAACTCTTGTCCTTCAAGAACACTGCGATCAAGTTGATCACGAATGAACTCACAAACGCGACAAACCCAAGCAAACTGAAGCGGGCGGCCGAACTGCGCGACGAGCTCGCGATCAGCACCTTGACGAGCTTGGACATGGCGTTCGATTCTGGCGCGATCTTGATGTAGCGAGAGTTGCCGAGGAAGAAGAAAAAGAGGGCGACCGCAAACACGCACGCGCAAATGGTGAACGTCGCGAAGTACCCATAGCTCTTGGGAATAAATTCGCCCGACCCCTTGACGCACAACGTGGCCAAGTACCCGTAGGCAAACCCGGCACCAACGTTGATGCACCAGTAAAAGTAGCTGAAGTACGTGATCTTTTGGGCGCATTCGCGTTCGTCGGCGGGGTCGAATTGATCGGCGCCGAGTGTGATCACGTTGGACTTGATGGCACCCGTGCCGATCCCAATGAACACAAACAAACCGATGATGAAGATCGTTTCCGCGGTCTTGGTGGAGCCGCCGGCCGCCAACGTGCTCGGGTGAGAGGCGATCGCAAGCAAGACATCGCCGACCATGTACACTGTCCCAAACACCGCAATTGTCTTGAACCGGCCCCAGCGCTCGTCGGCCATGTACGCACCGAGCAGTGGAGACATGTAAACAAGGGATGTCCACGTGCTCTTGATCGAGTTGGACGACACGCTGGACCATCCGAGTTTCTTGCCCATAAAGTTCTTGAGCCCTTGGTTGATCCCATAGTAACTGAGTCGTTCGGACAGCTCCATCATCAAGATGAACCCACACACTTGAACAATCACGTTCGTATACTTGACAGGGCGCGACTCCCACACCGATTTGTAGCCGCCGCCGACCCCAACGAGGGGCGTTTCCACTTTTTCAGACATCGTCTTGGTGATTCCGAGCAAAAGCGAAAGTGACCACCCAAGAAAGGTCCGAGGACAGCCTTTCCGCGCCGACGGGAACCAGCTGCGGCGCGGAAAAGTTGAACCCGGCCCAGGAGAAGTTCAAGAATCGGACCAGGTCGCCTGGAATATTTTCTATGGCGACATTTTAATGCACTCGACAACGCAAGACATACAAAACGCAAGTGATTTTTCAGACAGTGGACAAAAAAGAATGCGGGGCTGGTATATCTTTATGGCACATGCATCGAGCGGCAGAGACCATCCTTCCGACGCTCCAAGTTCCAGGGTCGTCTACCAGCTAGATATCCTTTCGCGCGTGGAGACATCACACTCGTGTGATGCAATGCCCTGGTCGGAACGGAAAACAAGACCCGTGGGATCCTCCCGTCTTCGCGGTTGCAGCTCGCACTCCATTGAATTTGTGACGCTTGGACCGTCCACATGAATATCATGCCGGCGGCAGCTGGGATTGTCGTTCTTGGATCTATTGCAGCAAAAAAATTCGGTCCGCCGACCGAATTTTTTTGCTCATACAAACCACGAGTTGTTGCGTTGGAAATAAAATAATGCCCCCCACCATTTGGTCCACACTGCGTGTTTTTTTCTGACATAAACTGGGTCATCCTGACAATCGCTTGGACGACCACGTTTGGGTAACACATCGCATCAACGAAAGAACCTGCCTTGTCACGATGGTCGCTGAACGAGGAGGACCATGGGCTTGAACATCACGTCTCACTGGTTGCTGGAGTTGCTCTCCCTGGTGAACGCAGCTCCGAGTCGGCAAAGAACAGCGGGGAGAGTGGGTACGAAGGTGGTACGATAAAGATGCGCCGCCGTCAGGCGGTACAACGGATTTTTTGGGCGGGGGCAATTTTATCTACCGTTTTGTATTGTCTACGAATGTATGCACTTCGCGTTACCGCGCAGCGAACGGGCGGCGGTGTAATGTCCAGTTCTGGGTCGGACGACGTGGAGCTCTCGCCAGAATTCTACGCGCTGAGTACAGGCACCGCGGGGCGCCTTCCGAAGACCACCCTTGGCCCTTTCGTGACGTCCGAATCATTCCCAGGCACGAGGGAACGACTGCGCCAAGGGCGCGTCAAGAATCCTCGAAACGTGCGATGCCATATGATGGACCACCCACATGCACCGCAGCCATGCATTCCCGACGAGCGTGCCTACGCTCCTGCCGTCGTGTTTCATGCATGTCCTTCACGGCCTACCTTGTACAAGCGATTCCACGCATAAAACGTAGCGTGATCCCTTGAAAGGGGGTGGTGGAGCGGCCAGTGCGTGGCTGCGCGCTCCTTTTCTCATGTGCGACACGACGGCACTTCCCCTTCAAGGGCCGTCGGGGACGTGGCCGAGCCCCCTGATCACGAGGCAAAGCACCCGTTTCTATTCCCAAGAGTTGGCTCGTCGAGTCGTTGAACGTCAAGGTTTCGCCGACCGCATCGACGTGCCGCCGGAGTCACGTCATGTACGACTTCAGGCGCTGCTTGTGTTCATCAAACCACTCGCCAGCTTCTGCCTCGGTCGCAAAGTGTTCGCGATCGAAAAGGACGGCAATGATCTGTTCGTCGCGGGTATCGTCTCGCCGACCCATTTGCAACGACACACCGTCGCGCCGCGCAAACTTGTCCTTCTTCCGATAGATCGTGGTCAGGTCGAACAGCGATGGGTCTTGCAGCTGGTGTCGTCCTTTGGAATCGTTGGACCCCGAGTCGAATTGAAAGGGCCGCTCGACTGGTCCTTCGACTGGTGCTGATGCGGGACGCACGTTCCCGACGTTCTCGAGAGCTCTTGCCACCATCGCGACGGCGGTGTCTGTTGTTACGGTAGCTGGCACGGTCGACGGCGGCGGGGGCGACACAACGTCAGGTTTAACTGCGGCATTTGTCGTCGCGGCTGATGCGGACAACTCGGCCTTGACCGAATCCAGCAGCGACGACGTGGGTTTGAGTGGAGGTTTTTGACCTGCTGGCGGCTTGCGATGCCTCTCCGCTGATTTCGCCCGTGCCTTCGTGGTGTCTGCTGGTGTCGGAGTCTGTTGTTGCGTTGCTAGCAAAGTGGGTCTTGGGGCGGTGGGCTTTTTGAGCGCTGGTTGGAACGTGAGCTCTTTGTCAGCCTCGTCTTGCTGCCGTTGCTTCTCCGCAGCCGCCTTCTCCGCCTTCTTGCGAAGCCATTCTTGCTGCCGATCCATCATGGACAACTGGGACAGCGACTTTTTCTCCAGCAGTGGCGGCGGCTTTACCGCAGGCTCTTCTTGCTGGTTGACCACGCGCTGTTGCGGGGCGCATTCCACTACAGCGCCGGACGGTTTGGTTTGGTGGGCTCGAAGTTTCCCTCGCAATGGACTGGGAGGGCATTGACTAACGCCTGCAGACGACGACTCATCTCCCTCGACGTCGTGTGGAGGAGCCACGTGGTCGTCTTGGTTGCTTGGAAGGTTTTCGTCTCGACATTGGTCCGATTCAACACGATCCAATGTCGGCGCCACCGCGCCTGTGAATTTTGTGCATACGCCAGGGATTCCATGGAGCTCCGCGACTACTCATGTTGGAGCAGCATGAGACGACGTTGTGATAGCTCGTGTCCCACCGATGTGGTTCCATGCTTTGACGCGAATTTGCGCGTGCTTGTCACCTCGGGCGATCTGCTGGGTGATTGTCTAACCGAAGTCGTGGAAGCGTGATACGTGGGGGACATGCACGCTTGCTACCTCGATCGTGCCATCATCTGGGACGCCGATGCGCAGTGGATTGGCCTTCAGCCACTCCTGCACCACCTTGACGCGAGTTTCCCACCACAGACTGTCGTTTTCGACTTCGCCCGTCTGCTCTTGGATGAAGTCCGCCTGAAAAGTCACACGAGCAGGTTCAACGATTCAAATGACGCTCATGTTGTCTCCAAACCATTTGCTTGACGATGGTGCTTGTGCGGCGATATGTTGTGAACATTGCTGTGACGCGCCAACCTCCAAGGCGCGGCACGGGCGGTTTCGTGAAACGAATGTGCCCCGCTGTAAGGTTTCACTTGAGCACCTTCTATCCATACGACAACGCGACAAGCATCTCGTCGATCCCATGCTTCTTTGAGCGTCGACCGCCACGACCCGGAACTATCCCGAGGGACGAGCGCGCCCGCATGGTCGACATCGAACTTGCTCTTGACATGTTTCATCTATAAATGCCTTATAAATGGCAATTCATTCTCGACGTTTGTTATGTACGCTCAAAATGAATTGCAAAGAATCTGATTTGACAATAAATGAATGTGAACACGGCGACGAAGCATCATCTGGCGTCATGTGGCGCACATATTCTACGCCGGGTCAAGTAAGCCCGCACGGTCTCTCAGTCGACGGAGGAGATCGGGGCATATGGTTGCCTTGATCGTGTGAGTGCTCTCGCCACTGCGACATCGTCCCGCGCTCGCTGTGTTGCGCTCGAGAATGGCCAAGGCGTTCGTCGCTCTCTTCTCGGTGTTGTGGGCAGTGCCTCCCATTGACGCCTTGGGTGAGTACTTTCTCCGTTCGCCTACGAATGCATTTGACCTTGACGGGTAGTCACGATTTGCAAAGCGAGCAGTGCGACGTCGTGGAGTACTGGAATCGAATGCAGCATGGAATTGGATATCGTTCGTCCGACGGTTGTGGACAGATCGACACCCATTGCATGGACCATTCGAAGCACGTATGGAGATCCCATTGTGTTGGTCAAGTCGGCCATCTCCGTGTGCGATACATCTAAATACACATGCACATATGGCTCGGCCGACTTTGTTGCAGCACCATCGTCGGCCATTGCGTTCGAAAATGCCACATTTGCCAAGGGCGCGACCACGGTGACGTTTCCCACGTCGTCTTCCTACGTCGTTGCGCTAAACGTAGTGGCCGGCAGCAACGGACAGCAGTTTTTGGCTACGTTGCCGGTACCTGTCGTGCTGGCATCGTCCTCGCTGCCGTCGATGGCGCCGCCCACTATTCCTGGAACCACCCCGTCGTCAACCATTTCACAAGATGATCGGTCCAAGATTCCGTCCAACGGAAGCGTAATCCTGATCATTGTCGGCGCAATCCTCGCTCTTGTCCTTGGAACAGTGTTTGCCATGCTCTTCGCCAAACTTCGAAAGGCAAGGGCCAACATCTCGTCTCAACAGTCCAGTCTAGGAACGTACCACCCCGACGATGCATCCCATGTCGAGCTTGACGCGACAGCGGCGGCCAAGTTCGTCCCGCCGGAGCCCTACTCGCGTCGAGTATATGTCGCCAACTCGAGCGACAGGGGGTCGTCCGTCGCGGGTGGCCCATCCTCGTCATGTGCTTCGGATGGCATGTCTGCGTTGCAAACCAACTTTCGGTATCCGTCCGCTTCAGGAGCTCGAAACTCGACGAGCGAGACCTGTTACGGTGGGTACGTCCAAGTGACGGATCAAGTCGCGCCGCAACGTGCCCGGCGACCCCTCAACTATCGACGATAACGTGCTCGTGATATTTGCTTAATGGAACGACGGCATGGATTTATCGTCGACCTTGTTGAGAAGGGCCTCGAGTCGCCGCGCCTCGGTGACGTTGCCCGACTTGTAGTGTAGCTGCATTTGCGTCCGCAGCTTTTCTTGGTACCGCATGTTCTCGATCTTTTCCTTGCTCATCGTTTGCATGATCAAGCTAAAGTCCTTGTTCTCTTCCTCGACCCGCTGACGCAAGCGCTCCCGGCGCATCGCTTCTTCGTCGTCGTGGGCGTTTGTCGCGCCGCCCTTTCGCTTCCCTTCCTTCTTCCGGTGCTGCCGCATCTCGTATTTCTCGACGTCGTAGTATTTTTCATGGGGCAGCGTTGCCGTGTTGTAGTCTTCCATGTATTCCTTAAACAGCTCCATGGCCTCCCATTTGGGCCCGTTGAAGTCGCTGATCTACCGCCAAGGCGTCAAGGACGTCCGTCCTTTGATCGACATGCAGGCAACCATTGTTTACCTTCTTCACCTCGCGAAGCCACACGTTGAACGAGACCGCTTTGGCGTGGAAATCCGACTCGCGCAGGATGCCGTACTTGCCATAGTCGCTCTGGTCGATTGCTTTTGAGTGTTTCTTGGCCTTCTTGTCCCTTTTGGACTTTTTATCCTTATGCTTCTTGCGCTTCTTGTGCTTGCGGTCGTCCGAGTCACTGCCACTGCTGCTGCTGCTGTCGCTGTCGGATGAATCGCGATGGCGGGATCTGGTACTGGTCTTCTTCTTCGAAGACTTCTTCTCGGACCTTCTTCGTCGGTCCGAATCCGAGTCCTCCGACCCAGAGCTGTCGTCGCGTCGACTTCGCTTGGAAGGCATATGCTCGTGTGCTCTCGATCCACCCAACTCAGCTAAAATGAGCAACTACGATTGCAACAATTGCGTTACAACCGGCACTCACGATGAAATTCCTGCGTTTCCACGCGTCGCGAGAATGCACAGCGCTTGGCTAGCGCATGCCTCGAAGGCTCAAGAGTGTGGGGACCTCGATGGGCCATGGCGATGGCGTTCGTGGGGTTCGATTCTCGCAAGGACTAACTGCGACGAAGAATTAGATTAATATGACGAGCTATTTTGGTCAGATATTTGCCGCGCATAATTCTACCAAGCAACACAAATGGTTGATGCCAAGCAAGTGTTCCGAGAGCTCAAGCTCCATGGACTGACCCTTCATTCGGACGCGTTGAAGCGGCTCTTGTCTGAGTTGACGAACCAGCCAACTCTTGTCCTCGAAGATGTCGTGTTTGCCATCAAGAACAGCATCGATCGAAGCAAACGTACGTTGCATGGGAACACGCGGACGCATTGACGAGTCCTTCGACAGTGAAAACAAGCGTCGTGACCCAAGATGCGCTTGAAAGCGCGCTGGACACGCTCTTGAACGTATCTTCGGACAACGACTATCAATGCATCCAAGTCTTCAATGCATTTGAGCAACCAAAGCTCGTTTATCACCCGTCGACGAAATCGTATGAGGTCTCGGCAGATCCGTCACGGAAGCTTCATGCAAGCTCCACCCACCGCTTGTCCCTATATCGAGAAAGGTACCTCGACGCGTATTCCTTCAACTCGCCAAAAGCATCCACATCTGTGGACAGGTTTGCCGCGTTGGAGCGTCGAGTCCTGCGGCACAAGTCGTTTGCGAAGCCAGTTGCATCGACCACGCGGCAGTACAACTTTCAAGACGTAAGCGCATCTCGTTCGATGCAAGTGTCGGCCTGAACTTGGCATAGATCAGTAGGATTGAATCCCTGTTGGGAGTCACAGGCACGAAGCGCGTGCTTGGGATGCTGGGTCAAGACGAACGGAAGCGAGTGTACCTGGAAGACATGACGTCTCGCATCTACCTCGATGTTTCCGAAGCGGTACTGACTTTGCATCAGCATGTTCGTTGGTCGTGGTGACGGAGGGTGCATTGCGGTCTGTAGAAGTTTACAAACGGGATTTTTACCAGCAGCTGCATCGTCCTCGTCGAGGGCCAAGTACTCGACGATGTGTTCCATGTCGAGGTTTACGTCATGCTTTGCATGCATCCAAACCAGCCATTTTGTATTCATAGACAATCGGGTCGCCCCCCCCAGAGCTCCGCGAACAGTCGCTCCATGTCCTCTCGGGCGTTGATGCACTCGGAGTCGAAGTCTCCACGCAGGTCTGGCGCATCGAGTTTTGCATGTCGGACACTCATTCAATCGATATCGAAGCAACTGGCCCAAATCAAACAACTTGAAAGCGAACAGGAATTGGATTGCTTTGTCGTCCTCTCGGACGTCCATCTCGATGAACCGGACGTGCTGAAGCGACTTGATGCGTTGTTCAGCGGGTACGAACCGTTCACGCCGACGCTGTTCATCTTTATGGGCAACTTCACGTCCACCCGCGTGGGGTATGGCTACGGTAAGCCCATTTGGCCATAGCGAGTTTGGCGACACATGGAGTAGGCGCCGAGTCCACAACCATTCGGACCCTCAAGCAGCTCTTTGATGATCTCGCGACGCTCATCCTCAAGTACCCAGCGCTTGTGGAGAAATCGCAGTTCCTGTTTGTACCTGGCCCCAATGACCCTGGGGCGCCCGACGTCGTTCCTCGCCATGCGGTGTGTCGCATGGGTCGAATCGTTTCCTTCGGTTGGGGACTTATCGTGGCGCTAGTTGCCCACCGTGTGCACCGAAGACTTTATCCGACGAATTCCGTCTGCAATCATGTCCAGCAACCCTTGCCGGTTCGACGAACTTCATTAACGTAGCTCATTGCCGCCGAGTGTAGAGTTCGTTACTACACCAAGGATTTTGTCATCTATCGCGACGACTTGCAGCACAAGATGAGCAAGGCGAGTTTGTTTCCTCTTTCGACGGACACTGGTAGCAACGACGTGTCTCGACACGTACGAGCCATTCCCACTCGATGATATGGTCGAACAGGATCAATTTGTGTAGCTCGTGAAAACTCTCGTTGACCAAGGCCACTTGTGTCCACTGCCCATTCCGGCGCGTCCGATCCACTGGGCGTACGACTCATCCCTGCAACTGTTTCCCTTGCCCGCAGTGGTAAAAATTACGTGCAATATCGTGAGTCGGATGTGCGCCCGCCAATTGACTCTGTGTGAATAGCTCATCTTGGCGGACAAGTGCGACCAATTTCAAGTCAACTATGCAGGGGTGTCGGTATTCCACCCAGGTCCATTCCACGTCGACTACTCGTTCGTTTTGTACCGTCCATCGACCAACACGGCGGAGATTAGCCGAGTCGATCTGGATTAGCTTCGTCGTAAGCGCTAATGCATACGACACAGCAATGGATTGCAATGTTAGAGTTCGCCCAAATGTAAGCCCAACAGAACTGCATGAAAAATGCGCTGGATTTATCTCGGACGAAACATTTTGTCTTGTGCTCGTAAATGTCGATGCAGATCCTATTCGAAGTTAATATCCCCTTTCGGCATTGGCATGACACACCGTTTTATTGGTTTCGTTGTCGGTAAAGTAGCGCTCGAGCTTGGAGCACCACCACTGGAGACTTGGCTGAGTGGTTGAGCCAGGAGGGATGTTCAAAAAGGTAGAAAACAAGTCGCTCCATAACTGGCACTGCCAATACCGCTTCCATGGACGCTTAGGCATCCACTTGCCAGTCTTGCTGATGTACTTGACTTCCATATAATCGCCGAAGAGCAGTAAGTGTATTGATGCGCACAGGCCAAAAGTGTCGATTTGATAAGTCCATGTTTCCTTTGTCAACATCTCAATGCACTGAAACCCCGACGCATGGCAATCACCACAGAACGCAAAGTCTTTCGGGTAATAATCGAGGTCAATGGCCCGGCCAAAGTCAATCAAACACACGGCGCCGGTACTGAACGTCTCGCGAGTGTCCCAATAGGATTGCCCGTCGACCAAGATCCAATTGTCAGGTTTGATGTCGCCGTGAAGAAATCTAGCCTTGTGAACGATGTCGACGGTGGCAAACATCTGATACGCGTAGTAGACGGCAATTTGTTCAGGAATCCGTCGACCGTGCTGGGCAATACCTGTCATTGCACGATGCATATTTTGGAAACACGTACCTGTGCATACTTGTTGACGAGACCATGAAGCGTGCCTCTGTCACCGCGCTGCTGGATCAATAACGTAGCATTCTAAGCAGAAAAAGTGAACAAGGAATTCACGCGTATTCAGAGGGTACTTGGAACACATGCAGAGTGTACATGCGGATGATAGTCTCGAAGCTTGGGTGTTGCTCGTCCTTGCTCAGTCTTGAAATAATTTCGTTGACACAATAGAACTCCCATGGCAAATACCCGACCCTCGTTTCATGCTTCGTGTACCGTCAGCACCTAGGAAATTGTAATTGTCGAATAGCACATACCTTTACCGCAACTTCCGTCATTTTATCCCCTGACGAACTTTCTTCAACGAGCTGTGACGCATATACGGATGCGTACGACCCTGAGCCCAAGAGCCGAGTAAATTTGCAATGAGTACGTATGCACAGCGGAATGGTGACTTGGGACTTCAGCCTCAATTCCCCTCTGACCACTTCAACTGGAAGGGGAGCGTCGAATGCACAAGTGTGGACGACTACACGATCCGCCATACTGCACAAACTCAGAGCCACGTGTTCCGACTGGACCATTTTGTAGCGGTGTACAGGGTTGTATGGGTCTAGCGTTTCTCGCGCTCTCGGTTGAGTGTACATTGTAGTCGTTGATGTCAAAGTGGTCATGCTATACCGCGAATGCGATTGTGTCAGTTAAGTCCGAACATGAGATCAGTAAATGCAGATGAAGCAAACTGCATTAATGACCGATTTAAACGAATGTCATCGGTGAAACGCAAAACGCCGACACCACTCTACCTTTGACAGTAGCTGAATCCAAGGACATCCTTGTTCTTCAATCGACTAGACGTGGCACCAGATATCTGGCCTTGAGTCGATACCTCGGTGCTTTTGGGAGAAGTGCAATTTTCTTCATTGTTTGGTTTGAATCGGGAAGGACTCTTGACCAGCAAATTCTCCTTCGCGTCGTTGTCTTCCGCCACGCAAAAAGAACTGAATTGCAGTTTTCGGATAATTGGCTCTTCTGTCCTTGGGATGCGAACGGACTGATTCGCTGGCTGTTTAATGGGACTGCGAAACATGTCGTTGATGTCGTTCAGTGCCAGCTTTGTGGTAATCGTAATATCTTGGAGAGCTGCTTGTTGGAGCGGGTCACTACTTCCTGAAGGGACGTTGGACGACATATAGTCGGCAGCATTCACAAGGAAAGCGCTTGGAGCAGGTTTGTTTTTCGACTCGTATCTCTTTGCACGGAGCTCTTCAAAGCAATACTCCGCACCGTCAACATCTCGCAGCATGCCTTCGTTGAATCGAAATATGTCTTTCGGTTTGGCGTGTTCACGTTGACTGGTCTTGACTTCAGAAGTGGGGTGAGGACGTTTTCTCGCAGTTTGCAGTTGATTGTCGTCGATGGTGAGTGGAGCGCGGGAAACAGTACCAGGGTGCAAGCTGCCGACTCTGTCGCCACTGGTAGATCCTTTCAACGCACTGCTCCTTAATGTGCCTTCGTCATTACTTGTGATTTTTGGTGTATTGGGCTCAGTATAAATAGAGAAAGTGACATCAGGGGACTTGGTGTGCATTGTGTTGGTCAGATTTTCAAGCGGGGTTGGGGTTGTCGAGGTGCCGCGAGTTGGTCGTAGAATGGTCTTGCCATGCGTCGAAGAAGTGCGAGTTTTTTTACGCTGGCTTCCTTCGTAGTTGTCCTCCGAACTCTTCGTCCATGCTTTGATTACTCGGCAATTGAATTCGTCGTACTTTTTCTTCAGCGTTTCTCGCGGTTCTGCGTTTCTACAAACGGCTATTGAATCGGCGAGAATGGCCTGGCAACAACTCGTACTTTTGAAAGCCGCGATTGAAAATTGTCTCTGCGTCCTTGATCTTGCCACTTTTCTCGCACAAAAATGCCCACGCAATGTAGAACAATGACAGCTTGTCTCCAATCTTGTGTTTGTGTAGGAACATGAATACCTCGAGCGGTTTCTCGACTTTGTCAGCCTAGGTAAGGGTTAATTCACAACGAGTGCTTCTGACAACTTACGTAAGCAACCCAAAGTTTCATGTATCGGACATCATTTCTGTACTTTTTGTTGCCCTTGAATTCGTGCGTGATTTGCTCCAACACAGCCAAGATCTTCTTCACATCGGAAGGAAAATACTCTTGAACCCACTTGTAATACTCCAACCAGCTCATAAGAGGGTCTTCGCCGCAGTACGTAGCAATGTTGTGCAGCAGCTCTCTATGCAATCAGTTTGACTGCATTTGTATCGCATTGTATTGCATTGTACTCACCTCTCCTGGCTGATCAATTTCGAATGGTGGTTGGACGAGTCGACTTCCGCAAGCACTACATTCAGCTTGTCTACATTCCGTCCGCAGTGAACAGGGGCAACGTTCTCCTTGGACCGTTCCCACGCAAACGCTTCGCACTCCTCCAAGGCTTGCATCGCGTTGTGCTTCGAGTTCGAAACTCACTGGATTCAAATTTCAAATCCTTGTGTATCCGGACGAAGGCACTTTATCCGGACGTCCTGATAAAAAAGGTCGTGCACCTCAACATGGACGAACATGAGCTGGACTACGTGGACTGCGGTGTGAATGGCGCGGGAAATCCTCATGGCAATACCAACGTCAGTCGCTTCTTCCGTCAATCGAACTGCGTGCGGCACAGCACTGGCGCAAGCGAGACCAACAGCACCGGCTGCAGCGAGAGTATACCGGAACTGGGTCTCCAGAGCGAAGCAGAAACGGCTAGTGCTTCAGCGCACCAAGCAGACCGTGGTGATCGCTCGGATAGCGATAATTCGCATCAAAGTGGCAAGACTGATGCACCCATCGTGGCCAACATTGTCGAGTTTTCAGGACTTTGTGTGGAGGGCAACACAACAAACTTGAAATTCCCAGGCTCTGCCGTTGATCCAGTACATTCGACCAATACAGTGCACAACGTCAATATGCCGCCAAGCTCAAGCATGAATGTTGAGGCGCAAAGCTTCGATTCGCGGATGGACAAGAGAAAGCGAATACTAGATCATCCCATGGTGTTGAGTGTCACCTCGAATGGCCGTGAGGTGACGTGCAAGTGTGGCCGTATTGTGCGGCTGAATCCGCCATGGTACATTCTAAAGTACGAGCAGCATACAACCAGCCGAAACTGCGTCAAGCCGATGGGCGCTCTTGGACCGACCCTGGCCACCCCTTCCCATTCTGCGCTTGAAATTCAAGATATTCTAAACATCGAAGAAACGCTGGCCGAAGGCGAGACAATCAAATCGCCGATGGACATGAAGCTAACGTGCATCCGTGAGCTCAAGGCCCACCCAAATTTCAGCTGCATCTCCAGTGGCGGTCAATGGGTGCGTGGGTTGTGTGGATGTATCGTCCAGTTGAAAAAGCCATGGCATGTGGATTCCTTCAAAGACCATCTCCAAGCCGGCGTTTGTCGTGGAAGGAAGAAGCGTCCTCGAAAAGTGAAGACCCCATCGCTCACCCCGTCCAACACAGAGCTCGCTAGCGCTGACTTGTCTCCATGTCCCGGTCTTCGTGGCAATGACGTGATCGACTACGTGACGTCGGCTGTGCAATTGACGGGGGGGAGTCGGCCCAAGTTTAAGATCGCGAGAGAATTGTTTCCACATCTTTTCCAGTCGTCGGCCAAGTGCGATATGAGTACTGCGCTGTGTCCTTTCGAGAAGAAGCTCGTGCACGACACCGTACAGAAAGAAGCGTTGTGGTGGATTGATAAGGAAGCGGCGACGGTTCGGAGCTTTCAGTGTGCTGGCGTCGCACGCATGAAACATCACGTGAGGCAGCCCTGTCAGTATTGTACCAACCTCAGAGCGATTCCGTCCTTCCGGACGGCCATTTCATTGAGGGGGGTCAAATCCACCCGGAATCCCAAATTCATCCCTCGAACGGTCCAGCTCTCGTCCGCAAGCCTCAAGCTGCCATTGGCAGACACAACCATGGCCGATTCGTACGCGCGCGAGTTGCGGCAGCTCTTAGCATGCTACAACAAGGACGAAGTGAATCCGCACTACTACTGGCTGTCTGTGGCCGAGATGGGCATGGCACATGCGTTCCAAGACTCCCCAGTGGTCATTGGGTTGCTACAGTGGATTGTCACCCTCAAGGAAAAGGAGCGCCGCGGGGTTGGGAAGCAAAACATGCCATACGCGCCAGCCCTTGACGACTTTATTTCGTCACTCGGAGAGATTTCAGCCGAAGCGAGCGAGTTGTTCCAGCAGCACTTTTGCAGGCGATCGAAGCGGCATTCGTCCAAGAAGGTGGCTCAATCCCATCCAAACTCGTTGCTGGCGTTGCTCGTAGCGTCGACTGACCCGCCAGAGCAGACAGATCTGCTTTTGGAAGTTCCACCATCCCAAACTCTCGGCGTAGATAGCCCATCTCTTGACAACGCCGATGGTGCAGTGCCGACGTCAGCTGCAGATCTCATCACCCAGCGCGAATTGGAGTGGAAACACTACGCCAGACAGCATCCAAATGAAAAAATCCCATGTCCAGGTCTGTTGGTGGCGTCCTACGTTGAGAACTCCCTACAAATGACTGGCGGAAGCCGCCCTCGCCACGTAATTGCCCGAGAACTCTTTCCGGCACACTTCGTCGAGGGAAAAGTTACAATATCGCACTCGCTCAGTGTCGACCAGCAGCAGTTGCTCATGGACGCCGTCCACCGCGAAGCCATTTGGAGAATCGACAAGGCCGGCGAGTGTGTGCGAAGTATGAAGTGCATGGGGATGTGTGTTCGGCACGCGGAGGCGTGTGCTGCCTGCATGGCGCTCCACCGCAACGCAAGCTTTCGATCGGCCGTGAGCAGAGCGCGCAGACAGACACGCAACTTGGACAACATTCGATTTATCCCGAATCAATTCATGACGACCGACCCCGTCATGCACAAAATTTCCAAGAACGCAACGCTGCGGTGGTTTGCGCTCAACGCGAATGGTAACGTGATGGCGAACTCAAGCGCGTGCTTTTGGCTCAAAGTTGCCCGGTTTGGCATCACCGGCGCCTTTCGCAACTATCCTGTCCTAGAAGGCGTGTACGAAAGCCTCATGCATTTGAAGGAAAAACAGCGGCGTGGGGCGGGGAAGCAAAACATGTATTATCCCCCCGCGTTGGATGCATTTATGAAGCAACTCCTGGCGATCTCGCCCAAGGCGCTCGAGTTGTTTTCGGATAAAGTAGTGTGCGGCCATTCCGTGCGCGCTCATGTTCAAGCGCAAAAACGAAAGCACGTGGCAGCGTCGACAGCTACGGATGACTCGCTGGTGTTTTTGCCGCACGACATCCCGATGCCGATGCCGGCTATTCTCATGTACCAAGACGACGATGACGAGCATCGTCTTCTCAGCGTCAACAACGAAGGGTACCACCACCATGCGACCACATTTGGCCAAGATTTGTTGGCAGGAGATTCAGAATTGGGTGCGACCGTGATGAATTTATAGCACGAGCATATGTGCGTCAGACATGGGCAGCTTGTCGTGGTCGGATCCAAACCCACCTTTGACGATGACGCTCGTTCCAGAGTACTGCACAGCATGTCCGCGGCGGGGACATGGGCAGTCTCCAGGAGCGTCAATGCGCCGCCAGAGCATTCTTTTGGCCGTGAAAAGGTACGCTGTCCCGTCCAACGAGCCACATTCCTTCAATTCTCCGCCAAACACTAGCAGCAGCTTCGACCCGATGGACGTCGCCGAGTGTCCTCGGCGGAGCGCGGGCAATTCGCCTTGGAGTCGCGCGTGGGACCAAGCGCAGGAATTTTCCTCAATGTTGATGGCAACCTGATGGGCGTCGTACAGGCCGGTGGTATCTCCAATCTACGTGAAGTAGTCGTCGTGGTGAAGATGCGACCGGCACGAGGGAAAGCTGTTTTACGTGCCTGCTTGCCGCCAAACACAACGTATGAACATGACGATAGCCTAATGGCTGTTTTATAGTTGCCTTCTTGATCGATGTAGTACCGAAACACTGAATGAAAGGACCGACCGCGGGGACAGAACGTCTTGCAAGATGGGGTGGACCATCGCAGGGAGCAAAAGCCTGGGTCACATTGTGTTGGCAGGAAACGAGACTCGATGAGTTTACCGTCGTCGTCGATGTGAAGCAAGTGGATTTCGAATGCCGGAATGGGGGAAGCTCCGTGGCTGCCACCAGAGATTGCAACGGCCTGTCGTGTAATGAGAGTGGCGACGTGGCCGCTGCGGGGGAAGGGGGCTTGACCAGAGATCTCGGGCATCATCCACGTCACTCCGAAGGGAATGTCCGTCATCGAGTCACCTTGAACGTCGGTCGGGAAGTCGCAGGCGTCGTTTTCGATGCACATCGCGACATCATTAAACGGCTGAAATGGGTATCTCTCTGCATGTCCACCAAAGATCAGCAATCGCCGTATTCGGGTGAGAGACTGGTCGACAAGTTTCGTCGGGAGCCACGTTGCCGAGTGGTGTCGCCGCGGTGTGGGCTCAGTACCGGCCACGTTTAGCCTTGTCCAGCCCTTGATATTGATCGTGAACGGTATGTCGTGGCCGCCAGCCCCATCGCTGTCGTTACGACTTAATTGAATAGATGAGATCGGAAGCGTCCATACTTCAAAGCGGTAATGCCCACCACACCTTGCAAACGCCTCTGGTTGGAGAACGCAGTTTCGATATGAGGGAATTGGAGTGCTACCGTGTGAGTAGTTGGGCCGTGGTATCGATTGTGTACTCATATCGATCAATGCTTTGCGATGTCAGCGCGTTGGACATCTCTATGGGGCATCGCGCCCATCTGAATTGATTCAGACACGCGAATGTTCGATAAAGTGCCACCCAGGTCTACCATAGTGCACACATGTCAGACTACACATAGTGCATTAACAGAGTGTACATGTGGAACTGGGGCTTGGAATCGATGCGCCACCAGTAGCGCAGGCAGGTGTTCAAGGACGCAAGAGAGCTTGCACTTTCCTTCCAACGACCGCAGAACCAGTGTGTGGAATTTGTGGTTGACGAACATGAGCATTGCTACATCGTCCATGGTCAGCGAATCGATGACTTGGGCTAAAGGTGCATCGCCCAGACGCCGCAGAGACATTGCCAAAGGAAGCGGAGATATTGAGCCGGCATCCAGCACCGAGGACACCTCTGGTGGTCTATTTTTGTAAACGAAGTTGAACATTGACCCAGCTTGGTGATATAAGTGAGCTGCCAAGGCGCCACGTGCATGACGACTGCAGTCCTTTGCTGCCATGAAAAAATGCTGTAGCCCCGCTACGATTTACCCTGATGGTTGATACAAATTGAGACACAGAGCTCCTCCCTCGACCATTGGTTTCATCTGGAGGGTTCATCATGTTGCCCGAGCTTCGACCTTTCTCATCAAACCCCTTCAAGTGGCCAACTCTGCTGCATCGTCGCGGAAGCATCGCCCTGTGGCCCCGACTTGGTCTGTGTGTTGTGCAAAAATCGCCCTTTCTCTTAGTAGAGTTTAATTACTAATTTAATTACTAATAGTCTACTAGACATGGTACTATGCTTTTGAAAATACCGCGAACTACATGCAATGGCAAAAGCATCACAAGTCGAAGATTCCGACAGCTCCGTGATGAACACGAGGGTCAATGAACAAGAGTTAATCGAGGTAAGCACATGCCCACTTCGCATGAGTATATGCTTATAGTAACACTTCGGGAAGCTTCCATGGTCCAGGCTTCCATCTCTCGTCCGTGCACTGGCCAAGCCAAGTGACGACACGGTGAACGACGTTCGTGATCAAGAAGAACTCATCAGTGTACTGTCCAAAGCGGCGTCTACTAGCTCGACAGTAGACCACCAAGTCCTGCAATGCATCACCACGCTGATAATGCGAGCAAAGCGGGACTTTGCCCGTGACACGCTCCACGAACCCCAAGAACACTTCATGCATCAGTCGTTCTTGACAAGCTGCTCGTATTTGTACGCGCACGCAGCATCTATCAGCGCTCTACCAAGAATGTGCCCCGAAGTTGAAGAGCTACGTCGAAGTTTCCAAATTTTGTTTAGTTTTCAACCGTCTGTACGTTCGCACGATGGAGTCATCGACCTAAATCGGCTTGTCACAGTCTGGAAGGTACGATCACTTGAACCATTTCGATTAAGTGTCATGCGCTCTGCACCTAGAATGTCACAAAGCTGTGCAAAACGTTCAGTTCCTTCATCGCGACCCCTGAAAATGCATCTGGAATCTCCAAACTCCTCATGCATGTCGAGTTCACTATCCTGGATACGATGAGCTTTATTGACCGCTGCCAACTGTCTGCCTCGGTGGACAGCACCACCATAGCGCACAACATCCAGGTATGGGCTAAAACGCTGGGATTGGATGTGGCTAAGTTCCATGTCAAGGGTGCAAGGGTACTGTTCAAAGCGTTGCAGGGTTTGCTTCACACGTTCGCAAATGTCCTACCACAACAAGAGGTAGATGGACTACTGCGTTGTTCTTGGAATGATGCCCACCAACTTAGATCGACCACTACTGGGAGTGCATGGGCCAATGTCTTGGCGTCATGTTTTGCCATCGAACTTTGTCTCACGTTGATGCAAGTTGTCAAAAGCACTGGTCATGCCTGATCGACGATACGACAAATGTCATCAAAACGTCCTTTTCATTTGGTGGGCCTTCGAAGAGATCTTTTGCCACAGCATTTGAGATGAGCTTTCTCGACCTTGTGGACTCCAACGCCTCATTTCCGCCTGAACGAGTTTTGCATCTCCTCGTGGTGTATTCATGGTTTTCTGTTGACACGGACCACGACAATCGAGGAGTACAGCTTTTTCGTCATGTCGCTGCATTTGATGGCATCGTGAAAGCACTTTCTGCCTTGAACGACAATGTCACGCTCGCGATGACTTTGGTTGAACCTACCCTGCGACTGTACTTTGACGCATATCAACGAGGATCCACAGAGCTTCAGGTGGGAACAAAGTGAAGCGTGAAGTAGGACCTGATGCGGTTGCAGACGCGCCTTCTGCAGCTAACATTCAAAGACCAAAGCGGCCACCGACATTTGTGTCGTCGCCTCTGGATTCAAGCTCTCTGCTTGTGGTATCAAAATGCCATGCGACGTTTTTAAGGTTCACATGGCTCGTCGTTTAGGAACACGTACAACGAAGCCTGTGGCGACGAGATTATACATCTGCTCCTGGACCTCACGTGCTCCAACAACGAAAACTTCGTTAAGGCTCATCGAATCGTTCTGAGCGATTTACTTGTTGACATGTATCCCGCCATGACACTGGCACAAAAGGTAGTTGTATGCAATTCACGATATGAAAACGGTATTTCAATTGTAAATAGACTCTCTGCATCAATCGCTGCACCACTGTGGTTGAAAACATGTGTGCTGATGGCCCGAGCTACGACTTTAGTCTTGCTGCCGAAGCGACGTTGACTCTGCTTGAAAGACTAACTGTTGTTGGAAACTTCATCGATGGTGTGGACGTATTATGGCGCTCGACATTCGTTGAAAATTTTCTGGCGATGAGCTTCGAGTGCTGTGGAACTGCTGTCAACATAATCGAACAAGCGTGCGAAGAAAACAGTCCTGTCGACAAAGGCATTTGGCGGATTGTTGACGCTACTTTGCTGATCCTTCGAACCATCTTTTCGTCCACCCAGTTCAACGTATTGGCTCCAGATGACCAGGAGGAAGTTGAAGGCTATATTGCCCAGACCATGCCAATGCTCGTAGAAGTTTTGCGCCGCCTCTCCAAAACGACATCAGAAGCTTGGTATGCTATCAGTGACTGATTGTTGTGACAATTTTGGCGCAGTGATATTCAGCGCCGTATCGTTCAATCCATCAAGTACTTGTTGACGACGTTCCATCCCGGGCTCAGGCGAAATCAAGATAACCACTTGATTCTTGTACTGGAAGCTATGTTACGCATGTCGAACATCCCAGCCCTGAAAATGCACTCAGCATTACTTTTGAAGTGGCTGGCAAATATTCAAGTGCCCCCTTGCACCGTGGAAGCGGTGGTATTTCTTTCCTGGTCACATGTGCTGATCTCTTCTTCTAGAGGAAAATTTGGCTGCAGTATTGCAAACTCATCAACATTTTACTGTCGTCCGCGGACTGGCCCATCGCTTGCACTGCATTGGAAGCCCTGTGGCTTGTGTTGTCCGAATCCAGCTTGCCAGTCGAATCCGAAGACGTCACACAAGATTTCAATCCGGAACACATTGCGATGGTATTGCAATACATCGACATGGTACACGAGAAAAAAGTGCTTGGTGACAACAAGCGAAAGCGGAGTAAAGCGCAAGTGCAATTGGACCGCCTCGGGACACAATGCGCCAAGGTCAAGCGATTCTGCATGATGAGAGCTCACCAAATTGACGACGACACCTTCCCGACTGCTATCGTGGACAACGTGTGCAATCTGTTGGATGGAATCATGCGACGCCTTGACAGCAACGATGATCAAGCTAGGTGCTTTGGGACACAGTAGGGTATGTTCGAAATGTTTCATGCAACGAGGGATATCAATTCACTTTAGAATGCAACTACGCCGCTTTATCGGAATGACCTTCCAAACGAGTTGAAAAAGCTCTTTTCGATCTTGCCTTGGGATTGCTCTTTTTGCTTTTTTTCCCTATGACGACAAGGCATCATCCTCAGGAATTGGGTGGCCAAAGAATCTGTGCCGTACCTTTCTTTGGCTTCTAGCGCTTGTCGCTTGAGGGTTTGCTGGATTTCGAGCTGTGTTTGGGCCTTCTGCTTCTCCGCGTCGTAATCGATTTCGATTAACTGCCGACGGATTCCATCCTCTGCTTGATGTTGCAACAACTCGGACTCCTTCTCGAGGCAATGTCGCTTTTGTTTGGCAGTGAGGAGGTCATTGTTGGACAGCACGATTTTCTTGACTTCGTCTTTCGACAACCCCTTCCAGTGATCCACACGCACGCGGTTTGGGTTGGCCAGTTTGGCTTGTAGAGCGTTTTCACTGAGGAAATCGCTCTGTACAGTCGCTAGGATCTCGCTTCGATCGATGATATCATTGAGCTCGTGCTGCGCCACCCCTTGTTCCTTGAGCGCGTTTGCCATGGCCTCGTTGTATCGCCGCACCTCAAGGGCTTGTTTTGCCCTTTCTCGCTCGTAGTCGGCTTCCGCTTGCTGCTGCAAATCGCTCACTCCCCGCATCGTTTCATCGTAATGGCGGTCGCGCTCCTTGTCGTCACTCGCCTTGGCGTTTTTCGCCGCAATTTGACTCTGCGTCCACTCGCGTACTTGGGATGCTTGAAGGCGGCGCCGTTCATGCCGTCCAAGGTCTTCGCCGTCGAACTTTTGAGCCGATGCGACCGAGCAATCGTCGACATTCAGCGCCGACATCTCTTTCCGGGCAATATCCGCCTCCCGGCGTTCGCCACGAGTCAGACTCTGGCTTAGCCACTCCTGTCGAAGTCGTACTGCTTCTTCATGTCGCTGGGCTGCTTCGTCAGCTTCGACTCGACTGATGTACCGGCGGATGCTCTCTTGCTCGTGCACTGCGAAACATGTTACCACGAAGAAAACGACTAGGTCGTACCGTGCTGCTGCTCCTCCTGCGCTTCTCGGGCGGCGCGGGCTTCCTTTTCAACAATTTGGTTTTTAATCCCAATGATGTCCGCCTAACGAGACGTGGTGCATGAGGTCCCCTATCTCGTTCAAGTCGAGTTCCCTTACTCCGTTATTACGCAAGCGGCCGTCATGCAGCTTCTTCACGCGTTCGTTGTCTCGAGATCTTCGAGCCTCTGCCCGACGCACGTCGGGGTCATCTACGTTCATCGCGGGCAAAACCATTGCCGCTTGTGTTGGGCGATTCAAGCACCTTTGGAGCAGAGGCGCCCCATGAGAAGGCTAAAAACAGCTCGCTAAAATTAGACAAGTGTTCAACTGAGTGAAACACCTTTCCAAGGCCGTATTTCTTCGAGTGCATTGCGTTCAGAGTTTGCGTGGGGAATTTCTTTTCAAGTGGATAGTTGTTTGTACATTAAAGATACACGTCTTCTAAGCAGCAGCGGGGTGCTCGACCTCGTACGCCTTGTCTTTCTCGCTCAAGTAATCGGCCAACGATACGTCATTTCGAATGAGGACGGGCTGCTTTCGGCCGGCAATCACGTCCGAGTCGACGTACACCGCGTTTACGTTGGGCATGTCCGGGATGTGAAACATCGTTTCCACCAAAGCACGCTCAAAGATCGCACGCAAACCACGCGCTCCCGTGTTTCGCTGGACAGCAAGGTCAGCGACGGCCTCCAAGCCACACCGCGACACATGGAACTCGACGTCGTTTAGGGCAAACAGTGCTTGGTACTGCTTGACAAGCGAGTTCTTGGGCTCGGTCAGAACGCGTACGAGCTCGTCTTGGGAGAGACCCAGCGTGCTAACCACGACGGGGAAGCGACCGACGAACTCTGGAATGAGCCCGTAAGACACCAGGTCCTGAGGCTCCGACTGGGTCAAGAGCTGCCCGATGTTGTCCAGTTCGTCAAGTTTGGTGTTGGGCATGCGGGCGCCGAACCCAATGGAAGAGCTCGCTGTTCGTCGAGATACAATCTTCTCGAGGCCGGCGAACGCGCCACCACAGATGAATAGGATGTTGGTCGTGTCGATCGAAATGAACTCGCCTCGCGGGTTCTTTCGTCCGCCCTTCTCTGGGACGTTCACGACGCATCCTTCCAGCATCTTGAGCAAGGCTTGCTGCACGCCTTCGCCTGACACGTCTCTCGTGATGCTGACCTATTGACGAAAGAGTGAGAAAATGGCCACGTGCGATGCCGTATACGTTTTCGCTCTTTCTCGAGATTTTATCGATTTCATCGATGTAGACCTACACATTGAGTTGTTAGCCGCCGACGCCTTCAGTTGACGTGGCGGCGACGTACAATTCCTCGTTGAGCGGCATCGACGTCGTAGTTGGCTGCCTGGTACAACTTGAACAAAATCGACTCGACGTCTTCCCCGACATAACCAGCTTGCGTGAGGCAAGTTGCATCGGCAATTACCAACGGCACTTGGGCCATACGCGCCAGAGTCTTGGCCATGAGGGTCTTCCCCGAGCCAGTTGGGCCCACAATCATCATGTTGGTCTTGTCCAACTCGACCTCGTCCGCCTTGGGCCGGGATTCGAGGCGTGGGTCGGCGTTGATGGCTTCGACATGGACCCCGTGGCCCAAAGAATGGATCGTCCCTCGGTTTTGCTCTGCACTGGCCTTCTTCTTCTTGGCGTGCATGCTCAGTCGCTTGTAATGGTTATGTACACCAACACTCAGAGCCTTCTTCACGGCGTCTTGGCCAATGACGTAGGTGTTGAGACCGTCGAAGATTTGCCGAGGAGTTAGCACTTGCTCCTGTCGTTCTGACTGCACTGCAGGTGCGACCGTTCCTTGATGAACAATTCGGTTGTACTCACTTTCGCCTGAAAGACCCACGTCAATCACCTTCAACACATCAAAACTTTGGCAGGCGTACTCGTGAGTCTGGGACCTGAAACATTCGACATGTGCGATGTGTGGTCGCCACCATAAGTCGAAAATCCCGAGCTGGGTCCACCAGTAGACTTGACCACGAAGTGACCTTTGCATTCTTCGCACGAAATGATGTCGCCTTCGGACAATTTGGCAGCGGCGGCATAGTCGTCCGACTGATGAGGCGGAACGACGTTTGCCTTGGCCATGACGTTGGGCGCAGCCACCGCAACTGAAAGCTTCAGTCCATTTCCACATTGAGGGCATGGTAAAATCCCAGAGCCTTCTCCTGACGAGAACGCCGAAAATCGACGAGCAGAGATCAAGGTTGAACTCCGGCGACTCTTCGGTAAGTTATCGATTCCAGCAACACGAGCATGCAGTGAAAACCTGTGCGTCCGTAAAGCATCCTGTGCCGCTGTAGCCGCCACACTCGAAGCGCGGTGATGGATGGCGCTGCGTCTCGCCACCGCGCGTGGAATGCGTTTGCCAAGGAACGCCACAACCGCCATTTTCGCTTGTTCAAAGTTTCTTGTAGCCTCAAACTCCAATCACGACTGGCGAATGAATAGCTAGGAAGACTGGCCGTTTAGTATTACTAAACAGCATTATATCCTTCGAAATGCTCGTTTCGGCCCACAAGACCACACGACGACCATCACGGCGATGCAATTTGGTAACGATGCCCCAACGGGTACAGACGCACGAGCGTCGCGGTGTTAATTGTAGTCGACTAGACGCTCAAGTGCTGTCGAGGGCTATTCTTGCGGGGGGAAGGCCATGGCATGGACGGCAAAGATCAAAAACATGACTCCACCAACGACCGTAACAGTCTTTTCCGAGATCCGCGAGGCCAAAAACTTGCCGCCGACCACTGCCAGCCCCGTGCACATGGAATGGCCAAGGATGGCTCCCAAAGTCACTGCGAGAAGATAATCAAATGACCTCGTCACACTGTGTCCATACCTCCAAACGCATCATTGGACGCAGATAATGTGATCGTTGCGATCTACCGAGCGCATTAGACGACTGAAAATAGTACACGATAAACCATACCTGGGATCGGTCGCCCCATTCCGCAAGAAACGTGAGCAAGAACCCTTGCGAGAACACTTGAAAAGCGGTCGTCGGAACAGCGAGGGCAGCGGCAGGCTGGGCAATTCCCTTTTCGGCATCACTAGTTGCACAGATGACACATCAAAACGGGAATTGGACCACTGTACCCAGCATCCTCGGCAGTCTTCTTTCCCTCGAGCTCTTCCTCGACTTCGGTCAGCTCGTCGGACGGACCGCTACAGGTCGATGCTCAATTACAAGGAAGGGAAACTCAATCGTGTACTTGGCGTTCATTTCTCTGGAGTCGTATAGCATTTTCACGCCGAACAGCACAAACTAGGGCAATGTAAGGATGCGATGGCAAGAGAGGCTTGTACCAGACATGCGCCAGCATAGTGCGTCATCCATGGCGGCAGCAAGAGAGCAGCGACTCCACCGAGCACCACGGATAGCACTGTCATCACAATGAGCGCACTGATAGCGCCGGCAAATACAACAATACGATCGTGCTTCATGGACAAAATGGCTGCGATGAAAAACGTCTTGTCCCCGACTTCTGTGGCCCAAATCGTGACAATGCCGCTGATAAAGCCAGACCAGAACTTGTTCACTGAGCTCTTTACACGCTTCGCACCGGAGTTGACATCATCGGTGGGATCATACTTGACACGCTCGTTCGTGACGAAAGGTGGAGCAACAGCGCTGTCATCCGAGGCTAGGAGGGGGCTGATTGCATCACGGATTTTGTTCGACCACTTCACAAACTCTCGACGCTGCAAGACACCATCGTGATCCTCATCGGCAAGAGCGAAGGCATCGTTTTGGGCGATTGCCTGGGCTGCAGCATATGCGGCGGCTAGTGCAACCAGGACGACAACGTGTTGGATTCCGCGCATGTTGGTCCAATTCGTGTCGCCGAATTGGTGATTGCGGCATATATGAACGGCGCCGGTTAGTACCTATTGTAGTAGTACTAAATCTACAAGTCAGACTAATTGTGGTCTTGATGGCACGGTCACACGTGAAATTCGAATAAAATTAGAGTTGAATTGCCCTACTCCAGAAAAATGTATTAAATACAGATTCATTTATATTTGTAATTTCTATAATGTCGATATTCGCCTGCGATATGAGAGGGACAGACCTAGAAAGCAAATGCGAATTCGGTAGAATCACAAAAATGTTTGGTTAGTTTCCTCCGCCGCGCTTACAGGAGGTGACTCTTTCGCAGCGCTTGGTACTTTTGGTACGCCACACCCGAAGCTACGGCCAACACAACAAACAGCACGAGGAATGGGAGCTTCCACCCGCCCCCAACCGACACGTTCTTGACCTTTTCATCAATCTTGGACTTGACCTGGTTGGCGGTGCTGGCGACTGTTTCTTGTACCTTGTTGTCCACGACCGCAACAATGCGGCGGTAGATTTTCTCGAGGCGATTCTCGTTGACTTGCTCTTGGTCGCGGAGCTTGCCGATTGTGTTGGCCGTCTTTTCCTTCAAATCGGTCAGAGCGTGTTCGGATTCCAATCGGAAGTTTTCGATTTGCGTGGTGAGGACGGCGATGCGGCAGTCCGATTGGCATGACGGTTCGACGAGCCACTTACGGTAGTCCTTGGACAGGTTTTGCAGCAGCGTGGCCGAGTCGGCTTCGTCAATGTCCTTGTCCATGGGGTCTTCATATGTGGCCAGGCGCAACACGTCATGGTTGTCGGCAACGCCACCTGTGGCGCCAGTGATGCCCAAAGTGGAAGTTCGCAGCCAGTCAGCGCTGAAGGGGAGAGTTGTTTCGTAGCATTGCTTCCACGCAGCAGTGTTCTTTTCGTCGACTTCAATGGACAGAATTTGCCCGACAACTTTCACCTTGATGCGCGATGCACTATGGGCAGCGTTAAATGCAGCGCTTTCTTCGTGGTAGCGCAGCGCGGCGTCGCATCCGACCTTGGTTTCGTCGTTCAGCTGTTGGAGAGTCTTGGACCCGTCGTTGATTTGCACAGACACATCCTTGTGACCGCCTTTGTGGTCTGGGTTGTTAAATGTGTCGATAATGATGCCCACGCCTCTGAAATCGGAGTCAAACCCGTGGTTGTCGCCGTACACATAGTTTTGACTTGACGTGAGCCACAATCCAATGCCATCTCCAAACCACTTCTTGCCTTGGCCAGAGATGCGGAAAGTCAGCACCGTGGCGAACGAGTCACGGCCAATGACTTGGTTGTTCCAAATGTATCCCTTCTTATCTTGTCGATCAGGAGTGAGACGGATGAAATTCTTCTTCACTTCTGTAGACCCGCCATGGATCCACGTTCCGTTTATGTAGCGTTGCCCATTGGTATCCACGCTGTCGTAGGGACCATCAAACGACAGACTCACCACTTTCTCAGCAATGCAGGTCGTAATGCTCAGCGCCAGTAGCATGAACAGCGGGAGGAGATGCAGCTTTGCCATGGTTCCGACCGCAGCAATTTGAGAATTCACACACTCTAGAGATGCTTACGGGTCCGGATAACGCAGGTGGAGCGAAATTCGTCAAAATAGCTCAATTGTCTCTACTAATATCGGGCGAAAATTTTGAAAAACTTCCAATTCCCATTATATGCCTATATTCGGCATATTTTGAGCGTATCAGGCGTGTAAGACACGTGGCTCGAAATCCATGGATAGCAGGGGGATAACACAAGTGTATGCGCCTCAACATGTCTGGTCGTTGCGACACAATGCAGGATATCTAGAGGCACTATATTGCGAGGCAGGAGAGAAACGTGACGACAATATTTGTGTTCACGCATGTTCCGTCGGCCGAACAGGACGAGGACGATGGCATGCAAATGACCGTTGTCTCTTCCATTAAATAAGGTTTCTCTGCCACTTCCATCATTTACTCATGATACGTATGTCGTACGTTCTGTACGTACCAATAAACGTATAGTTTGTATGCAAATGAATTTGTATATTTTGACGTACGATCTACCGCATGAGAGAGAAAAACAATGTGCTAATTTGGAGGACCAAGCACAACCCAATTCGCCAGGAAGGTCAATTCTCATGAAAGTCCACGTCATCTTGGCGTGCTTGCTTGCCTTTGTCCTTGAATGCGCCAGCATCAAGCTGGACGCACACTCGTTCGCGGCTCCGTTCAAAACCATTGATAGGACTGGCAAACGCATTGTGAACTCCACGTGGACCAACGGCGGTTCCACGGAAGTGTTCACAAACTTCATCCGATTGACTCCCGACCGTCAAAGCAAGCATGGCCATGTGTGGAACAACGCGCCGTTGCAACGTAACACATTCTCTGCTGTGCTGCAATTTCGCATTTCGGGCCAAGGCCAGAAGTGGTTTGGTGACGGTATCGGGTTGTGGTTGACCAACTCACCTCATCACGAAGACGGCGACAACCATGGGTTCAAGGACAAGTACTTTGGCGTTGGCATCATCATCGATACGTTTGTCAATTCGGAACACAAGGGTGGCCACAAGGACGTGACGATCCAAATCAACGACGGGACGAAGACCACCGAAGTCTTGCAAGACGAGACGAAGATCGGGTGCGACGCCGCGCTTCGCTACCACGAAGACAGCGCCCACTTTGACCCTGTTTTCAGCTCGTCGCGCCTGCGTGTCGTGGTGGATGGCGTCAAATTGAAGCTGGAAGTGGACGCCAAGTCGACGGCCGAGTGGAAGTCATGTTACGAAGGCGATTTGCCGCTTCCGTCGGACTGGCTGCAGAACGTGTCGCTGGGTATCACGGGGTCGACGGGTGGTCTCGCTGACAACCACGACATCCTGAGCTTCCTGGCATTTTCCGACGCGGACGATATTCATATGCAAATGGCCGACTCGGACGTGTACTGGAACAACTACTCGAAAGAGCATCACGGTATATTGAAGAGCGACCACTGCGACAACTCGTGCAAGCTGATCATTTTGGAAAAATCGCTCGAGAACTCGCGCGTCGACCTCGAGCATCAGCTAGTCGCACTGAAGGAGCGCACGACCAAGAATATTCAGAAGGTCAAGTTGAGGGAGATCGAGATCCACGAAAAGCTCGCGGACATGAACAGGCGAGTGGATGCGTACATGAAGCTCAGAGTCAACACGCGTCTCGATTCGGCCGCGTTGGACTTGGAGAAGGAAGTGCATGGCCAGGTGTCCGGCAAGGTTGAAGCTGCCGGCGGGTGGCAAGTGCCGTTTCTGTTAGTGTCGTCGGGAGTTCTCGCGGGCTCGTTCTACGTGTACCGAAAGTACAAGGAGCTGCGCAAGTCTCACTTGCTCTAACTCGCATTGATTTTTAACATTATCTTGGTGTACTTTTCAGTGACTCGCCTCATGAAGCACCACTTCAGTGTCGTGATGAAAGCACTGAAGCTTGGAATTGTGGTTGGTACAAATGCAGTGCGGGGCGAGCCCTCGTAAGCAATGTTATGATCGTGCTCTCGCGGCGTCCTCTGGGTTTGGATGACTTGCAGTCCCATCCGGGGGTGAAGTCGCGGCAAGCGCCATCATTTTCTCGACCGCGAACAAATGCAGTGGAAGTGCTGACATTTGGTGCATCGTTGTGGGGTGCACAGTGAGCCATGCCAGTTCGTGAAAGCACTTGAGCAGTTGTATCGTAAAGCCCGCCGTAACGTTGCCGGTTGACGGGTCGACCAGCGATTCGACTCGAAGTTGCAACGTGTGCTGGGTCGGATGCGGAACGCTTAGACTGAGCATGCCTACACCTGCCGTTAACTCCTCTTGTCCAAGCACACGGCCTTGTCGTACTATTTGTTTCAAGCTTTGGCGGAAGGACAATACCAACGTTCTTGACGGCACATGCAGTTGCCGTTTGGTCCCGCAAGTTGTTCCATCGAATGTCGCGATCGACTTGTGCAGACGACAGAACCAATTGCTTGACGAACGTGGCAGCTTTGGCGGATGTTGACTTGGTCTTCCACACGTCGTGCCAGGCAGCGACTTCTTGTTCGCTCAATGCACCTAACTTTGTAGCGACCAAAGCTCCTGGTACGTCTTCGTCGTCACGCACAACCGACAAGAAAGCGAGCGCATTGTCAACGAGCACCTCCATATCCGACTGTTTGAGCTCAAACGAGTCAATAAAGACGGCGTCCGAAGTCAAGGTGCGACCACTGGAGTTGGTCACGGCCGAGACGAGCCACCCATTGACAACGGCATACCCCAGGAGCACTTGAAAGGTGTCCGTGGAGTCGGCCAACTGGTACATTCTATTCACCAACCCAGCGGGAAAGCTCAGGGAGACATCTTCCGAATGGCCAGTGGGGACACTGGTCGGAAGAGTGTCGTACAGCGCAAACGACTGCTCTCGAAAGTACGTTGGCTGAACATGGACGCACGTTTCGACCAAATCTTCAACATAAACAACGTGAAACGAGACGTGGTTCGATGGGGACCTGCCGCTACGACCGCGTCGCGATAATGCACCGTAGAGAGAAGACAATCGGCGTGAAAACTTCCTGCCAAATGGCGCCACGACAAACACTGTGCTGCGGACACCAGACGCATGGCTCCATCGGTCAAAGCACGACGCGGCCTCGCTGTAGGTCTTGAAGGGCTTGTTGGGGTCGTCCGATTTGTGGATGACGAGCAATGCGTTGTCGACGTCGACAACCCCAGCATCGCGATGATCAAGGGTGCTGAGGTCGCATGCGGCCAGCGACCCCAAATTTGCATTGACGTAAGAAGACCGGAGCGACGACATGTAACGAGTGGCAAGCGATGCGACCCAGTCGTTTGAGGTATGGGGACAGATGATCCCGTACCGCACGGGCTTTGGTCCGCTGAGAGGGTTACAAGATCGCAGGCTCCACTCTGGGAGCAAGGACGGCGACATAGCGACAAGGGAGTCCGCCTTCGACGCCAGAAAGGACGGGATTTTCAGCTCCTAGCAGGACGCGCGATCAGGCTCGACCAAATGAAGGTGACTCTCGTACTTGACTTTCCATTTCAGCACCTTGGTCCGTCGTCGATTGCATGAGGTAGTCGTGAACATTCAACCATTTCGATGCCCCAAATCCGTAGAGTTGGCTCAGCGACTGCAAGTGTGGCTTCACCAACGCTTCGAGCACTCGGACTTGGTGTTCAGATGCGACGGGACCGTTGTCTGCCTGTTCTCCATGGCGCCACCATCCCACGATTGACGTTTTTGCAAGCATCTGAAGGCCAGTCACTTCGTCCGACCTGTCGTCGACAAGACACGGGGAAGGCGCGCATGTGACCGTATTCACATATCGGAAATCTGGCATTTGCACCTTGACTCGACTATTTGGCGGAGGAATCACATTGCAGTTTAAATATCGCGCGTCAGCAGCGACGGTCGACGTCGTCTTGTACGCATGCGCAGTCAGGACTCGGTCGTACGGGCAGGCGGCGCTGCTTTTCTTCGACGCCGACAGCTCAGCTTGCGAGTCACTGGCGAGCCACTCGAGCGCTTGTCGATTGAGATCGTACGGCCGAGACGCAGGTGCCACCGACGTGAGGGGCATAGGCATGTTTTCGATGTTGGGCTCGTGGTCCACAACCTTGACACGGGCCAACGTCGCGAGCGGGTTGTCCTTCGCCTCGTCCTTCTTTCGCTTGGTTCGTTTCAATTTCCGAAGGAAGGGCTGCACGTGTCGAGCGCGCTTGAGGGTCCCCACACTTCCACAGTCGAGTGGAAACTCTACGAACACGTCGCGCCCCTTTGACGGCAACTCTGGAGCAACTGGAACGAGGAATTCCTGTTGGAAGTGGTCAACCAAAATCATATTTGCGATCGACGTACCTCGTCGGGGTCAAATTGGCCAAGGAGGGGGTTCTAGACTATGTTAAGATCGCTACCAAACTTGGCCATGTTCACCTTTTTATCGGGGATATCGTGTCCTGGCGCATCGTCGTCGTCATCTTTGTCGTCGTCGTCGACGTCCTCGACTTCTTTCACGTCGACTGGAATTTCGGCATCTCGACTCCTCTCTTCGCGAGGTCGCTTGCATCGGCTTTTTTCCACAAGTCGGGGCAGCACATCACAGGAGAAAATGCCGTTGTCCCCGATGTCCCAAACATCAACCTTGCTGCTCGTCAGTTGCGCAAGGCCATGCGTACGCATGAACGAAAACCTGTCACTGGTAGCCCAATCGTGCTTGGTAGCAACTACAGCAAACACTAGCAGCTGGGCCGCCCTGGATAAGACAACTTTGGTTCGGATGGACGGGCGATGGCCTTCGTCGTCCCGAAGGGTAGACCAGTTGTCTTTGCGGTTCGACGACAGCGTTCGGAACTCAAAAGTTGGCTCGCTACTCAGAAAAAGTTCATTCGACGTTGAGACAGCGGGCTTGCGATCGAAGGGGTCTGTTCCAGTAGGTGTCCAAGCGAATGAAGAATGTTGCACGATCCACTCTCCGACTTGCCGCTCAACAGCTTTCAGAAACACTTTTCGGATTGACGGAGGCAAGTCCATGCCATCGCTTCGTCGCCAAGTGCCGTGCTCGCGAACGTCTGCGGAATGGAAGCATCAGGCCACGTCTCAAAGTATTGAGTGCGCCATACCACGAAATTCAACTGATAGCGACTGAAGCAAGTCGTCTCGTCGATTCTCCACGTTGATAAGGAAGAGATAGATTGCATTGCCGACAGTGACGACTGCTGGAGGTATCCACTTCGTGTTGGGAGGCATATAGGAGCACGCAAGCAAAGAGTTCACTCTGGCAGAAACGTCAACGTTCGCTCCGGATGGCTCCAATATGCAGTAGTCAAGGACGTCTAGTTCGCCCTGGAGGAGTCAAGCATAGACAAGAGTAACGCCGTCGTACCAATGCCCAGCAATTCATAGAGATGTCAGAGTTGTCGCTCATACTTCCGCTCGGCGTAGGTTGGACACGCCGAGGCGGTGTGCGGAACCACAAATCCTGTTGAAAATGACTAGTCTTTTGTATGCAGATTTTTGTCCAATGATAGACAATCCTTCGAGTTGCGAACTAGCAAAATGGACATTTACCTAATTGAATGCACATTGGACAGTGATTGATTGAGCCGAAGTGAAGCTAGACTACGAAAATGTTCGCTTTCTACAACTTCTGCATTAGGCAGCGCTAGGGCGATGTGGCTTCCATTAGCTTTCACTTGCGCTAGGCTCATGTAGAATGCAGAATGGACAGATTATGTATGACGTGGCCTAAGGCGATATTTGATTTGTGGATACACGCCGATGTGGCTCAACATTCCCCTCTAATCGTGACGTTCTTGATTGTTGCATGAAGAGATAGAGGTGGCAATTCGCGCCTTGTGTTCTTCAAACTTGGGTCGCGGCAAAGCTTTCGTGAGCATGTCAGCAAGCATCGAGTTGGTTTCGCAGTACTTGATCTTGATGATACTTTGCTTGACGAGGTCACGGATGAAGTGGTGACGCAAGTCGATGTGCTTCGTGAGTTGGTGACTTGATCGGAGCTTGAGTTCTTCAAGGATTGATTTGAGCCAAAGAGCTTCTTGCAAACTATAGGACATGGAGATGTACTCGACTTTGGAAGTCTATAGAGCGACGATGTTTTGAAGCTTGAACTTCCAACTGACCAGACATCCATTGAGGAAGAGGAAGTATCCAGACGTTGAACGGCGAGTGGTCTTGTCGTTGGCGTAGTCGGCATCAACATAGAGTTCGAGCGTAAAGGCTTCGTCGGAGGACTTCTTGTAAAGCAGGCCAAAGTCTTGAGTTCCTTTCAAGTAGCGTAGGACGCGCTTGGCGATTTGGTGATGTTCGGAGCTGGATCATTAAGGTATCTTGAGAGTAATGTCACAGTGTACGCTATGTCGGGACGCGTAGTCGGGGTGAGGTAGAGTAGTCCCCGCCACATTGCGAAGGCAAACGATCGTTAGACAGCGGAGGAGACAGAAGTGGCAGAGTGTCCAGTGTCTTGAGGCGTTGAGATTGGGTTGCAATCAGAAAGACCATGCTTAGCACGTATATCAGAGACATACTTGTGTTGGTAAAAGTGGATGGAGCCATCGTCAAGGCGT